GCTCGTACGTTGGTTTGCGTGCAGCCAGCAGCAACAGCCTGGTTGATCAGGCTCTGATCCACCAGGAGGCCTGGTCACAGACCGGGCCGCGGGGGCGTTGACCCCCGGAACTCTCTCCAGGTAAACTCCAGGTAATGCAGTAGTCTGCATAACAATAAATCTTCTATTTTTTGTAAGAATAAAAATTCAAAGTGGAAAGCAAAAGAAGTATAAGAGGGGCCTGGGGATGTGACTAATGAACAGAGAACTTGTTATTTTAGTGCCAAGAATGTCTTTCTTGTTTATTCTGGACCCTATTTGGAAATTGGCATCTTCTGAAATTTGTGTGAAATTGGCAAAATTGCCAATTTCTAACCACTTTATTGGATAGTTGAAATTGGTAAATGGGTGGTTTCTTGCACTCATTCGATAGAAAAAATGGAGTTCTAGTGAAATAAATATGATTTTTGTCGACTAGTACACAGGAATTGGCAAAAAATAGGGCTCATAGTGGGCGGAATTGCCAATGCATAGACATCGGCGAGACCGCTAACTTCGCGAGAGCATAATTCCGTAAGTTTTCCATCAAATTTCATACTTTTGGTGTCATTATGATCGGGAAAAGATTCTCTATCATTTCACAAGAAAAATAATTGTTTTTTTCTGAAAAATTTTCGAACCTGAGAACAAGTTTAGGAGAGGGCCTCTCGACCCTGAAAGGGTTAATGGACAGTGTACGGTGTATATGCTTTACACAATGAGAAGCATTTCTTTTATTCGTTGGAACCATGGCTAGGGCTAAAAGTAAGCAGATTATAACAAATGGAGAAAAAGAAATTGGAATGACTTATGCAGCAAGTAGCGCCATTGAACAGTAGTGGCAGGTTTGTGTGGCATCCCTGGAAATTTGAAATTATGCTAGCCGAAATTTGTGCCGGATTACTGATGGAACCGGATTACTGATTGCCGGATTGGTGTTGACCAACCTGTAATTATTTCTAGTGAATGATAGTATTAACCCCTTGACTGTCGAAACCCCAAATCCTGAAGTGTCTCCTGGTGTCGAAAAATATTAAAAAAAGAAAAAATTTTGTTTTTCTTATGAAAATGTTAAGATTATTTTTCTGATTGTTTTAGACCCCCAAATTTTTTTTTTGCCATCAGTACTTACCGAGATATAGAGGCGTAAAGTTGGCAGAAAATGAGCTGCGTATGGCAACAGCGGCGACTGTCGCTCACCCGGTAAACTTTGGTTTACTTGTATTCGAAGGTTTCTTGTTTTTTTTCACTATTTTATTTTTCACATAACTTATGTGGCATGTGAGACCAAACAGAACACATGACCATAACACAAGGCACAGATCACTCTTTGATGTTCCTCGTGTCCATCTCACACTATGCAAAAACTCAATGCACATAAAAGGCCCTAAAATCTGGAATTCATTACCTGTAAATATAAAAGAAACACAACCTGTTTATAAATTCAAGTCTCTTCTCAAAGATTACTTACTCACCCAAAACCAAATAAATACTGAATAACTGAACATTATAAATTGTATATCTTAAATGTTTCTCACAATTATATCACATAAATGTTAAACCTAAAACCCAATCTAACTTTATTATTTTTTAAATACACTACCTAACAGAATCACTACCTAACTGAATGCAACCATATGACCTGTCTTTGTAATACTCACTTGTGCTTTATAGTTATCTGTTTACATTAATGTTTTATCACTGATTTCATCATTGCTTAGTAGCAGCGCTGTATAGTCCTTGTGGCTTAGCGCTTCTTTTTGATTATAATAATAATAATAATAATCATTGCTTAGTTAATCTTAAGTTAATTTTAAGCCAGCCCGTAATGCTATGCATAGTATAAGTGGCTTTAGCATACTGCTCTTATCTGTATTTTTTTTGTACCTCTGTATGTGTGCACAAATTGGAAATAAAATAAAAAAAAATAAAAAAAAAAAAATACATTCATTGAATATAACACAATTATAGCAAAAACACTAGTATCATATTGTTTACAAAACTTGTTTACACAAACAAACAATATAAAAAATTGTTTATTATGCTTGTTCTATAATATATATACATATGTGCAATCACTGGACACTTCCCTAGAACTGCTGCAGCTTGTGGAATTCTTTGAAACATGGGTGTGTGCACAATGGTGCTTTACACTCCTTACACACAAAACGAGTGTCTGCATTTTTGTGGGCGTTTTGTGATAAGTGCACAGACATAACACCTCTTCTGAGCATTTTTCTTGAAAGCAGTAGCAGGCAGTGGTATGGGGTAGTGATCACCAGGCCTCAGACGAGCTGGCATGTGTTGGTAATTTCGTGGGCGCTGGTCTATTGCAAGTGTTGTTCCTTGGTACTTGAATATTATTTGTCTTATAACTGACAAACAAAATTTACCATATTTGGGTTTGTTGTTGGTCTTCAACTTGTACATGTTATAAGCATTCAGCAAGGAAATGTCAAGAAGATGGAAAAAGTTTTATGTATCACTTATAAGTCTTGCAAACACAATCAGCAAACCCAATCTGCATGTCACATTTGTCCACTAACCGCATATTGAAGTTGTAATCCATCACAGCTGCAGGTTTTACAGTGGGTTCATTGGTCTCTCTATTCTGCTTGCCACTGTCTACCATTTCATGTCGGTGAACTGATGTCAACAGTGTGACATCATGTTTGTCATGCCACCAAAATGCCTTGATGTCATTGGCAGCAAACACCTGAACATCACCTCTACGAGTACCAGCATCGAACCTAGGCATATGCTTACGATTTCCATGCACTGTGCCACACACATCTGTCATGTTCACTTGCAAGAAATCACTGAGTAAAGGGCTTGTGTACCAGTTGTCAGTATATAAAATATGCCCCTTGCCAAGATACGGTTCCATCATTGTTCTAACCACATCAACAGAGATACCCAGTAACTTCCTGGTATCTTGCAATGTTTTACTGCCAGTGTACACAATTATATCCAAAGTTAGACCACTTTTGCAATCACACAGTACAAATAACTTTATACCAGAGTGTTTCCTCTTGCTTAGTATGTACTGCTTGAATGACAGTCTGCCTTTCAACAAAATCAAAGACTCATCAATAACAAGCTTCCTGAAGGGATAAAAATACATACAACACTTTTGTTTCAGGTACATAAACACATTTCTGATCTTATATAACCTATCACTTTTGTTAGGCCTTGTTTTGCCTGAAAAGTGTAGCATACGTAACAGTAGCACAAATCTATTCACTGGTATAATGTCACCAATAGCTGGGGTTGAAATCAGGCAGTCTGTTGACCAGTATGTGTTGACACTGTGCTTATACACATGTGACACAAGCTTTATTGTGGCAAAGAACAGATACATCTCTGCTACAGTTGTGTCCTTCCATTTGTGTAGGAGTGATCTTGGTGAAAGAATTGTGTTTGCCGTGATGTACTCAAAGTATGTATTGCTTTCTCTGACAATAATGTCCATCGGGTTCATCGAAGAATAACTGAAAGCATTCCAGTTCAGTAGCATTGTTCCCAAGTGTACATGATGGCCATATTCCACTTTGTATTTCATCAAAGTGATGGAGATTGGGAACAAAATTGTTACCTTGTTGCCAAATCCCAGATGCGGTCTGCTGGTGAGTACTGGATATTTACAGGTTGTGGTTGTGGATGTTGTGGGAGTGTAGGGTTGGTTGAGGCTGGTTGTGGCTGTGCTGAGTTAGCATCATGTGTAGTAGCGTGGCCCACTGCTGGTGCCACATGACTCATGCCACCACCACTATCACCATCACCACCTGCTGCCCCACGCACATCATTCATCCTCATTGTAACAATATCATCATCTTCACTTTCAGTTCATGGTGTAGAGCCACGGGATGTACTCCAAGATTTACTCCTTCCCCTTGGAACAACATATGACACACTACCAGAACGCATGCTATGCCGTATATACTGCCGCTTCACTGGAGAATATTCACCCTCACTGTCGCTACTAGAACTGCTTTCTATAGCTTTGAAATCACTATCACTATCACTTTCACTGCTCACATCTGAGTCTTGTACACAGGCAAATAGTTTCCTCTTTCGTCCTGGTACAAGTGAATGTGAATGAGACAGCCCAGTACCAGAGGTGGAAGGTTGTGGGTCATCTGGATTTTCATCACTAATTATGTTATCCTGGGTGCTGCTTTCAGTCACACCCACTCCAAAACCATGAAATTCACTTTCACTGGCATTTCCATCACTGTTAGAGCTATCACTTGGGAACAAAAGACCTCCAATCCGCCGAGGAGTTAGGTGGTACTTACCACGAGGCATGGTGAAAATGGACTACCAAGATGGCATTCCCACAATGCACCACTGAGTCCCTTTTTTTTCACAGGGTGCACACCCACCACTCAGACCCATTCTCTCTCATGTAGGCCTACCAGGTTTCTCCCGCTTGATTTGAAGCTGCTAGAATTTATGCGTATAAATATGTCAAACACGGTGGCTCATAAGACATATATATACGACCGAAACAGTCAAAGGGTTAATCAAATAAGAATAATATTTAAAGAGGTATGGCCAAAAAAAAAAAAAAAAATGGAAGGTTCAGGAGAAGATTTTTCTGAAAATGTTCTCATCTGTTTACCTTCCCTAAAGCTATTTGATTGCCTAAAAGGCTTTGTATAATCAGTAGTGTTTCACAAGGCTTTTGCTTTCACTTCTTTTAGAGCTTTTGTAAATAATAATCCCAGTCTGAATTCATTCTGTTCCTTTAAATATTAGTGGTTCATCAAAACATTTTGAAACAGTGTATCATTATAAAAAATCTTGATTAGATAATCTTCAGTCTGCACTCTTATGTTTATTGAACAGTATGCATATTAAAAAAAAATGGAATGTTTCTGCAGCAATGTTTTATTGAGGTCATAGAGATCAAAGAAATTCTTTATATTAGAGCAAGTCAAGCCTTCTTAAAGCCTCTTATTTGTCTTTTGTTTTTGCAGGTCATCCTTTCACCAAAACAAGTACTGCAACAGTGCCAAGACTCAATAACATAAGCTCTTGTATGTGGCAGCATCACCAGAAGAATTATTGCAATGGTGCCAAGACCCAGTGCTATTAATGCTATGAGGGTGACGGAAATACTGTGGTTTTAATGGTGCTGGCAGTTATTGTGATACAGCTGGCTATATTCAGATATACTATATGTTAAGTGTCACTACATGGTATTTTGAAGTTTGGCCATACAGCATCTTGTGGAGGCAGCTTCATTAATGAAAATATTGCTGTGCAACTTGGTTATTTACTACAGTTATTGATAATTCATCTGAAGTGCTCTATATGCATTATCTACAGTTCTACATGTAGTTCACTAAAAACCATCTAGATTCAAGAGTAATTTATTTTAATTAATATTTTGACTTCTTGTACAGCATGTACAAATATTCCAGAGGTTGTGTAAGATTTATTATATTTGGATAATTAACAGGGATTTAACCATTAATTTATAAGTGCATGTAATTGAAATTGCTTTATACTGTGTATTCAGTGTCCAAAAAAAATGTGACATAGGTATTCTAAATGAAACCTATTTAACCACATCTGTAATATTAATTCTCTACTTCATTTTATTTTCTCACAATTAGATGCCTACATTCACATGAAAAAAATTCTTGTCGATCATATTTATTTGCAATATTATTGCCATTTTTCATCATCCACTTGCTGTGTGAGTTTCTGACTCATTGAAGTTTTACCTTGAAATGAATACATAAAAGTTTCCTGGTGTATACTGACATTAAGACTACATACATTATTGCTCCAAAAACAGAGACAGATGAATTAATTACCTTCATCATTTTGTAAACAGAAAAGTTGATCATAGAGTAAGCATCGGTAGTGAAGCGATGGACATCAATCTAGAGTCTGTTATATAGATTGTGAACCTGTATGACTCTTGTATGTGCGTGTTTACTCTGAAGAGTAACTATACTTGGGTATTGACCCTCTTATTCCCCTCTCCTGTCTTTTCCTATACATATTAGCCATTCCCCACCAAGGTATGGTAACCCAAGAGGCAACTCATTTGCCTTCAGTCGTTCAGTATTGAACTTCCCTCTGAAGCATAACGTAAAAGCAAGTTCTCAGAACTAATAAATAACAGTAATGTACAAGATGTAATTTTTTAGCATTTTCTTGATATCTGTATGCAAATGTTTCTACAGTAAATAAAAGTTTCATTCAAAAGTTCGTAGATAAAATAATTACTATTCATTGTGTCTTTTAAAATTAAACTTGAGAATTTATATACACAAGTAGTCAGAACACACGACCTTGTTTTTTAAAACCTTTTTTAACAATGATTACATTTATAACATCATTTTGAAATTCATGCTTAAGAGTTTATTTAACTGTTCAGAAGTCTACAACAATCTACAATGCATTTTATAAAAGAAGAGCCGAGTGAGAGTCCACCTGAGACTCCAGAAACTAAACCAGTCTTTGAATTACAGTCATCTCTAATAAAACAAATAAGAGTTCACACAGAAGTGAAGCCACATCAATGTTCGGTATGTCTGCAAGATTTCACGCAGAAATCGCATGAAATGAAACACTCGGGAGTTCATCTAGAAAAGAACTCTCTGAAATCACACCAGTGTTTATTGTGTTCAAAGTCATTTACAAAAGATGAAAATTTACAAAAGCACTTGGAAAAGCACACAGGAGGAAAGCCGTATACTTGTTCAAAATGTCAAAAACGTTATTTAAAGAGAGGAAGCTTAATACGTCATCTAAGAAATCACCCAGGAGAAAACCCGTGGCAGTGTATAGTGTGTGTGAAAGACTTTTCAACTAAAGATGCTCTAAAACGACACATGAGAATTCATACAGGAGAAAAACCATACCAGTGTTCTGTGTGCCAAAGAGATTTTTCAGATAAATCAGTCTTAGTAAGACACATGAAAGTTCATACAGGAGAGAAAGCCTTTGAGTGTTTATTGTGTAACAAGCAATTTATTCAAGTATCTTGTCTAAAACAGCATCTAAAAGTTCATGCAGAAGGGAAATTTCATCAATGTTCAGTGTGTGCAAAAACATTTTCAAATAAATCTCAACTAGACCGACACTTGATATATCATGCAGGAGGGACACCATATAACTGTGCAGTGTGTTCAAAAGGATTTTTAAGTAAGACAAAGCTAGCAAGACACACCAGAATTCATACAGGAGAAAAGCCTTTTCAGTGTTCAAAGTGTCAGAGAAGTTTTTCAGATAAATCAATTCTTGTACGACACATGATTGTTCACTCTGATGAAAGATATCCCTGTTCGGTGTGCTCAAAAGATTTCTCACGGAAATCTCTTCTTGATCAGCACCTGCGAGTTCATACAGGAGAGAAACCATTTCATTGTTCGGTATGTCCAGAGCGTTTTATAAATAAAGGAAGGCTAATAAGGCACATGAGAATTCATACAGGAGAAAAGCCATTTAAGTGTTCGGTATGTCTAAAAGCCTTTGCAGAGAAACCCGTTTTAATACGTCACATGAGAGTTCATACAGGTGAGAAACCATATCAGTGTTCTGTGTGTTCCAAAAAATTTTCACAGAAAATACATCTAGAACAGCACATGAATGTTCATAGAGGAGGGAAGCCATACAACTGTTCAGTGTGTGTAAAAGGCTTCTTGCATTTAACAAGTCTAAAACGACATGTTAGACGCCATGTAGGAGAAAAGCCATACCAATGTTCAGTTTGTCTAAGAAACTTGTCAGATAGCACGAGTCTAATACAGCACATGAAAATTCATGGAAAAAAGAAAAATCAGTGTTCATTGTGCTCAAATAAAACTTCCCAGATAGATCTAAAAAAGCAGTTAAATGCTAGTGCACGAAGGAAAATATACAAGTGTCCAGTGTGCAAAAAATATTTCCTCAATAAAGCCAGCCTAACACGACATAAGAAAAGCCACATAGAGGAAAAACTGTTTCAGTGTTCGGTTTGTCTGAAAGATCTGTTAGATAGTACAAGTCTAATAAAACACATGGTAACTCATAAAACAAATAAACCACACCAATGTTCAGTGTGTTTAAAGAACTATTCAGATAAATCTGGTCTACAAGAACACATGAAGACTCACACAGAAGATAAATTCCAGTGTTCATTGTGTCAAGAAGACTTTGAAGATAAGTCAGCTCTGGAACAGCATACTATAGTTCATACACAAGTGAAATCAGAGGTGACTTCAGACTGGGTGGAAGATGTTATAGGTAAAAAGGAAGATGTTACAAGTAAAAAGGAAGAAGTTACAGGTAAAAAGGAAGATTTTAAAGGTGAAAAGGAAGATTTTAAAGGTAAAAAGGAAGATTTTAATGGTAAAAAGGAAGATATTACAGTTCATACAGAAGAGAAACTTGAGAATTCAAGGTGTATAGGGGATTCTGAAAGTAAAAATAAATATTCTACAGTTCAAGCAGAAGACATGGTATTCCAATGTTCAGTTTGTTTACAGAACTTTTCAGATGAAACTCTTATAGAACATGTGAAAATTCACTCACATGAAAAATGCAATAAATGTGTGGAAGACTTAAACGATAAAAAAGATGAAGATGAAGACATGACAATTCAGGCAGAGGATATATTATACCAGTGTTCAGAGTGTCAGACAGAATTTTCTGATAAAGAAATGATCATGCAACACATGAAAGTTCATACAGAAGAAAATCTTGAGGCCAGTTCAGTGTGTGTAGGAGATTTTAATGGTACAGAGGAGCACACAACACTTTATACAGAAGATATATTATATCAGTGCTCAGGGTGCCTAAAAGAGTTCACAGATGGGAAAATGCTCATGGAGCACATGAAAGTTCATGCAGAAGGGAATCCTGAAGAGAGTTTAGGAAGTGTAACAGATTTTCAAAGTAAAGAGGAACAAGTGGAATTTCCTACAGAAGATATATTATATCAGTGTTCAGTGTGTCAAAAAGAATTTACTGCTGAAAAAATCCTCATGGAACATATGGCAGTGCATACAGATGAGAAACCTTTCAAATGTTCAGTGTGCCTGAAAGAGTTTCCAGAAAAAGGAAGTTTAGAACAACACATGAAAGGTCATGGAGGAGGGAGACCATATAACTGTTCAGTGTGTTTAAAAAGTTTTTCAACTAAAGCTTGTGTAATGCGACACATGAGAGTTCACACAGGAGAAAAGCCATATCAGTGTGCAGTGTGTCTAAAATACTTTACAGATAAAGCAGTTGTAATACGACACATGAGACGTCATACAGGAGAAAAACCGTATCAGTGTTCAGTGTGCCTGAAACGCTTTACGCAAAATTCACATCTGAAGCACCACATGAAAAACCATCCAGGGGAAGATGTAGTGAAATTGCATAAATGTTTAGTGTGTTCTAAGAGAATTTCTCTAGAAAATTTAGAACAGCACTTGAGAGTTCATTTAGGAGATAAATTATATAACTGTCCACTGTGTCAAAAAGGCTTCGCAAGTAATGCCAGTCTAATAAGACATAGAAAAGTTCACACAGGAGAGAAGCCACATCAGTGTTCAGTGTGTTTCAAATTATTTTCAAGAAACTCTCATCTTAAACAACACTACAAAATTCATACTGGGGAGAAACCATACGAGTGTTCTGTGTGTTTAACACGATATATACAAAAAATACAGCTTCAACAACACATGAGAGTTCACACAGGAGAGAAACCATTTAACTGTTCAGTGTGTCTAAAAGACTTTAGATTCAAGGCAAGTCTTAAAAAACACATGAGAGTTCATGCAAGAGAGGCATCCCAGAAAGTTTTGCAGAAATCAAATCTTGACAAGAACTCAGGCAGTCATAAAGATGGCATGGCATATAAATGTTCAATGTGTTCCAAAGGGTTTTCAAATAAAGCCAGTCTAAATCGTCACATGAAAGCTCATGAGGAAGAAGAAAAACGTAATTGTATTCGTCATCTACAAGAGATCTTGAACAAATAAAATACTGAGCAAAAACCCATTATTTAAGTACGTAATGTAGTAAAGTCATTGTTGAGCTCGTAAAATGTAATTCAGCATTATTTTGAGAAAGAAGATTACTGAGTTTTTTAATGATATGAGAGTTAGTCTAAAAACAAAGATGGTAATTTCATGGGGTGAGCCTCCAGCAAGGTCAAGTTTCTGACTTGTTTTGGTTGACCTGTTCTTTGTTCTGGAATTGCTAGCATAGACTTGCTAACAGCAGAGGCTCCATCTCTCCTTCAGCAGGCATTGAGAGCCAATTGGGTTTTTTCTCAGTTGTTTGAAAAGTTATTTTGTGAAAGACACACAGGTCAGAAATTATTTATGTCATTTCTTTCTTCATTTATTATTTTAGTTATGGAATGTACAAATCTTAACACTTTTCATAGTTGATAATTTTATTTTTTTTTTCTGAAAAATAGATAAGCTTGCAAACTTAAGATTTTCTAGAGTAATTGTTGCTCAGTTCCATGAGAACTTTGATGAAACTTCTCACAAACATTAAACAAGCCTGCTAGCCTGATCTTCTCTAAAGTTACTGCTGTTAGTTTCATGAGTAACTTTGATCACACTTCTCTGAAACAGTACATGTGTGTGCCAATTCCTACATCTTCACTGGTATTGTTTAATATAATAATATTACATCTCTAAAATCTTGATATCACTCATTGTGGAGTGCAGGTAATAACCCCACATAGATTTGGAATGTTTTGTTAAAATAATACCAACAATCAGGTAACTGAGTTTTTATTTCACCAGAAGCTCAAGCGAGAGGTTGCAAGGCTTGCATCACATGGAGCTCAAGTGACAGGTTATCAAGGCTTGCATCAGATGGAGCTCAAGTGACAGGTTATCAAGGCTTAGCATCAGATGGAGCTCAAGTGACAGGTTATCTTAGTCTCTTGTGCCAACTGAAATTCACTTAACATTGCATATATTTGTTAATTTCTCTGTGCTTTTGTTGGTACAGTGTTTACTGTATCTGTAATATGTGATGTAGTACTCAAGTTTGTATTTTCATTTGCTTACCAGTAACTCATTAATTAAATTACAGCAGTTATTTTATTGTTTAAAATACACTCTTTGCCTTTCTTGCATCTTTTTTGTAGTTTTTTTGTATAATTATGAAAATAAATGCTTCAAAATTATTTCTTAATTCAAAACACACACAGCCTAAATAGTTATTGTTTTATATTTTATATTGTCAGCATTTTCATGGTTTTTATGACTGCTAATCCATGCCTCATTGTCTGCGCTGCCCTTTTTTTTTTTTTTTTTCTCGAAAGTATTACTATAGTTTTCCTCTCGAGGGATGTGCTGATCCCTAGCCGCCATCTGGAGTTCTGGAGGGCGGTTTTGAGTGTCCTCAGGGTGATGGGTGTATCTCTGGAGGCTGCCTGTAGGTTGTGGCCAAAGGGGGCATGCATCTTGCCAGGTTTCCAACAGCCCTCTCTTGTCTGCCAAGGTGGCTCAGTGAATGTGAGGTTACTATCCTGGATTGCTGGCATGAATAGTAGGGTAGGAAGTGGGTTCCATGCAGCATCTGTACTACCTGCTGCACTGAGGGTCCTCTTGAGTGTGGAGGGGAATACAGCCTCTCCTCACTTAAAGACAGGGTTCCGTTCCTACGACCACGTACGTAAACGAATTTGTCGCTAGGTGATGAGCATACTATAATGGTAGTGGGTTTGTGTCAACCATCTTTGACGTTGTTTTAATGTCGCCTCTGCACCATTTATAACATTTCTGTTATATTTTTAAGTGTTTATCTAGTATTGTACTGTATATTGTAATAAACAGAATAGAGGAAATCAGCTGTAATATACATTATTTAGGTATGCATACTGGTCAGAGAGCCCGTCATAAGTCTGAGGCATCGGTAAACAAGTACATAGCTAAGTGAGGAGAGGATGTATATGGTCTTTTTGTTTCTCCTTGGAGCTATTTCCCACCTCCCCTTTCCTCTTCCTCCTGAGTCTTTTCCTTCCCTAGTGGCATCTTTACATGACCCTGGCATGTCCACAGACTTTTCTGCAGACATTTCTAAGAACCTGGTACAGTCTTCAGGTAACAACTTGTTGTTTAACTCCATTACTGAAGTTCCAACTGACTCTTTTGTTACTTCTGACCTTCTCTCTACCTTGATGAAAATTCCAGCTTCCCCCCATCCCCTTACAGTGCATTGATTTTCAGATCATTTGCACATCAAGGTGGATCAACTCCAGTCCCCCATCCAAGCAACTTCAACCTGTAACCAATTAAGCTAACCCTGTGACTGCTGCTACTTGCTTTTAACCCTTAAATTGTGCCTGAGGTACCAGTATGCAAATGCTGTCTGTGTCGAACGTACTAGTATACAGTGCTAGTCATGGCATTATGCCGTGTGAGTGCCCTGACATAATGCTGTGATGAAAATCAAAGGCAGCTGTTAGCATGTCATGGCCTGCCGCCACACTCCACAGTGACTCCTCAGTGCTGACGTGGCTGCTGTGGTGAGAGGAAGTCTTACACTTTTGTCTCTTATCTGCCCCATCTTTTGTCCTGTGTTCCCTTTGGTTTTGGGGCTATACATTTTTTATTATAGGTAAAAGGAAGTCTTTAACACCTGAAACTATAGCTCAGGTCATAGGGCTTCACAAAGCTGGGCACCAGATGAACGAAATAGTGGAGAATGTTGGTGTGTGTGTGTGTGTGTGTGTGTGTGTGTGTGTGTGTATGTGAGCCTTCATTGAGTCACTGGGTGCAGCATTTCAAGGCTGATTGCGGTGTCGAGTAACCATCTGCCAAACCTTGGCCTGGCTCCTCAAAGATGACATCTGTTTGTACCTTAACTGTGTTAAAGAAGCATTTAGAGAGTACACCTAAGATAACTGCTAGAGAATTGAAAGAAAAGAACCCACATCTTCTCTCAGAGGTGTCTGTAAGAACTGTTAACAGACGTGTGTCAGAACTGGGCTACAGTAGTCACCGCCAGGTTAAGAAATCGATCCTCTCCAAGCCACAGAAGAAACGTAGGCTGGATTATGCAAAGAAATATCTTCACTGGAATTCTCAACAGTGGTCTGAAGTACTTTGGAGTGATGAAGCAACCTTCTCCGTTACCTGTAACCATGGGGGACATGTACCGGCCCAGAGGTAGTGACCCACTAGACCCACGCTACACCTGTGGGACCACCAAGCACCCAGACTCGCTCATGGTTTGGGGGTGTTTCATGCTCATAGTGATGCTGAACTCATTGTGCTGTCCAAAAACCAGTATATGAACCAGTATAATTATATTATTAGATGTTATATTAACACATCGGCTGATTCCCACCAAGGTAGGGTGGCCCGAAAAAGAAAAACTTTCATTATCATTCACTCCATCACTGTCTTGCCAGAGGGATGCTTTACACTACAGTTATAAAACTGCAACACTAACCCTTTCAGGGTCCAGAGGCCAAATTTCAAATTTTGTTATTTTTTCTTTGAAATGGTAGAGAATCTTTTTCTGAAGGTAATAAAACAAAAAGTACAAAATTTGATGGAAAATTAACAAAATTATGCTCGTAAATTTTGATGTGTCAGCGATATTTATGCATCGGCGATTTTACCGACTTTGATTCCCATTTTAGGCCAATTACATTATTCCAGTCAACCAAATTCTTAGCTATTTCACTAGCATTACTTTTATTCTATCAATTGAGCACAAGAAATTGCCAAGTCAACTGTTTCAACTACAAAATAATGTGATAAGAAATTGGTAATTTGGCCAATTTAATGCAAAGTTCAAAATATTCGTTTTAAAATAGGGTCCAGAATAAACAATGCAAGCATTCCTGGCACTAAACTAACATTTCCTCTGCTCATTAGTTACATTTTCAGGTCTTTACAAATGAATTCCCTTTTGGTTTTTTCACATAATGAATTTTTATTCAAACCAAAAATAGAAGATTTACTGTTATGTAATATTGTAAAAATTGTATGAATAATATCACCACATTTGTGAACATATATTAGACCCACCAGCTGGCGTGTATTAGACGTGTGAGGTCATTTGTTTACTCTTGAACATCGGCAAAAATTTAACGTTTCCGCAACTTTGAGCTCGGTTTCAAGCCATTTCCAGTGCTAAAACCAATCAAAATCATCTCTATTTCTGTAATATATCTTCCATTCTATCAAATGAGACCAAGAAATTGCAAATACAGCCATAAAAAACATACAAGAAAACACTGCAAAGTCGCTGTTTTAATGGAAAATTACGGTCTCAGTTTTTTTTTCTCTCATTATGCACTGTGTGCTGCAGGATTTGTTTTATGTGGTGCACACATACCACATAGATGTATTCTCTCTTATCTAGGCCCAAATTTACTGCTCACAGCTTATCAGAGTGAGCTGAGCTCATGGCGTAGATCTGTGGTTTGGACCCTCGACTCAAAGCTGTAGAACTATGGCACGGACCCTGAAAGGGTTAACACCCCTCCTTCTGAGTGTAGACACTACTTCCCGTCTGCAGGACTCAAGTCCGGCCTGCCGGTTTCCCTGAATCCCTTAAGTGTTACCTTGCTCACACTCCAACAGCACGTCAAGTATTAAAAACCATTTGTCTCCATTCACTCCTATCAAATACGCTCATGCACGCTTGCTGGAAATCCAAGCCCCTCGCACACAAAACCTCCTCTACCCCCTCCCTCCAACCCTTCCTAGGCCAACTCCTACCCCTCCTTCACTCCACTGCAGATTTATACACTAAGTCATTCTGTTTTGTTCCATTCTCTCTATAATTACCTGGATTTATTGTGTGACAATTTACCCGAGATGTTTGACAAGTGTGGGGCTACGGTTTTTAGGCAGGACAGTGCACCATGTCATACTGCAAAGTCTGTAGTTCAGTGGCTTAAGGACTGTGAGGTTCTTTAATGACTGGCCAGGCAATTCCCCAGACCTAAACCCTAGTGAGAACCTCTGGTTACTAGTGAAACGAAGTTTACTGGGCAAGGATATCAGGTCCATCCCACGGCTGGAGGCTGCTCTATATGAGGCATGGAATAATATACTTCCCCAAACACTCAAGAATTTGTGTGAGAGTCTTCCTACATGGCTGAGGGATGTAATTAAGCATAAAGGATGCAGCACCAAGTATTAAAACCTTAGTAAGTGTACAAATTTATGTATTATAATCTTTCATGGTATTATAATCTTTCATGTGTTTGTGTTGTGCTTTGGTATGTGTGTGGGGGAGGGGTGATATAATCCCATGGCTAGCACTGTAGAAGTGTAAGGTTCCAGGCTACTGCTGTGAAGCGAAAATTGCTGTAAAGTGAAACATAGCCTTTTTTTTTTTTACTTTCAACTGGATATAAAAGTGTACTAACATGTTTACACCATCATATATTAAGTGAGCAGTAGAGCTAGGTCTAAAAAATGCATATACAGTTACCTTAAAATATTTTCATTCCTAGCTTGTGAGTGGTGAATATATTTATTGTAGGAAGTCTGAATAAATGAAGAATGAGTATAATTGAAAACCACTGTATTTATGAAATTCTGTAAAGTGATGTGCTGTAAAGTGAGGCCCTCCTTACAAAAGTGATGTGCTGTAAAGTGAGGCCCTCCTTACAAAAGTGATGTGCTGTAAAGTGAGGCCCTCCTTACAAAAGTGATGTGCTGTAAAGTGAGGCCCTCCTTACAAAAGTGATGTGCTGTAAAGTGAGGCCCTCCTTACAAAAGTGATGTGCTGTAAAGTGAGGCCCTCCTTACAAAAGGAGATAAACCAAATGCGATAGTAATTATGGACAAGGTAGATTATAGGGGAAAAATAAACATTATATTAGGAGGAGATGAGAAACTCACGCACCTCTTAAATGATGCGTGAGTTTCCCGTCTCCTACACCTTGAGGGTCCCTGAATTCAATGGGTCTTCCCTAAACAATATTTATGTTCCCCAGGGGGGGGAGGGTTATACTAGCAGCTAGTATGAGACATAATGGGGCAGTTGTTCAGAACTCCTACTCGCTTTGTGTTGGGCTTTCCCTCACGAATAACCCGAAATTCAAACAACCCATGTTCCTCAAAATACCATTGTCCAAATAATACTAAGAGAAATATTGAGCATTACCTTACTATGGGAGCCAGGGGAAAGATGAATATCCACAGTACTTTCAGA